TGTCTGCTCTGTTAAGAGGCACTCTGCTACATGTCTGCTCTGTCAAGAGGCACTCTGCTGCGTGTCTGCTCTGTTAAGAGGCACTCTGCTACGTGTCTGCTCTGTTAAGAGGCACTCTGCTGCGTGTCTGCTCTGTTAAGAGGCACTCTGCTGCATGTCTGCTCTGTTAAGAGGCACTCTGCTGCATGTCTGCTCTGTTAAGAGGCACTCTGCTGCTTGTCTGCTCTGTTAAGAGGCACTCTGCGATGTCTGCTCTGTTAAGAGGCCACTCTGCTGCGTGTCTGCTCTGTTAAGAGGCACTCTGCTGATGTACTTGTTAAGAGGCTACTCTGCTCTATGTCTGCTACTGATAAATACTAACTACTCTACATTAACTACTACTATTAAATACTACTCTCTCATGACTACTACTATTAACTACTACTACTATTATACTACTATATTACTACTACTACTATTACTACTACTACTATTACTACTACTACTATTACTACTACTACTATTACTACTACTACTATTACTACTATACTATTACTACTACTACTATTACTACTACTACTATTACTACTACTACTATTACTACTACTACTATTACTACTACTACTATTACTACTACTACTATTACTACTACTACTATACTACTACTACTATTACTACTACTACTATTACTACTACTACTATTACTACTACTACTATTACTACTACTACTATTACTACTACTACTATTACTACTACTACTATTACTACTACTACTATTACTACTACTACTATTACTACTACTATTACTACTACTACTATTACTACTACTACTATTACTACTACTACTATTACTACTACTACTATTACTACTACTACTATTACTACTACTACTACTACTATTACTACTACTACTATTAACTACTATACTATTACACTACTACTATTACTAACTACTATTACTACTACTACTATTACTACTACTACTACTATTACTACTACTACTATTACTACTACTACTATTACTACTACTACTATTACTACTACTACTATACTACTACTCACTACTATACTACTATTTTTTACTACTTATTACTATATACTATTACTACTACTACTATTACTACTACTACTATTACTACTACTACTATTACTACTACTACATAACTACTACACTACATATTAACTACTACTATGACTACTACTACTATTTACTACTACTACTATACTACAAACTACTATGACTACTACTACTATTACTACTACTACTATTACTATACTACTACTATATTACTACTACTACTATGACTACTACTACTATTACTACTACTACTATTACTACTACTACTATTACTACTACTCCCTTTATATACTATTACTACTACTTACTATTACTACTACTACTATTACTACTACTACTATTACTACTACTTTTACTATTACTATTACTACTACTACTATTACTACTACTACTATTACTTACTACTACTACTACTATTACTACTATTACTATTACTACTATACTATTACTACTACTACTATTACTATTACTACTACTAACTATTACTACTACTAACTATATACTACTACTACTATTACTACTACTACTATTACTACTACTACTATTACTACTACTACTATTACTACTATTACTATTACTACTACTACTATTACTACTACTACTATTACTATTACTACTACTACTATTACTACTACTACTATTACTACTACTACTATTACTACTACTACTATTACTACTACTACTATTACTACTACTACTGCAGGGAAGGTGGTCTCTAAAATATTAGAGTGAAGGCTGGAGTGCTTATTGTGGCACTGTAACAGTGACTCACTGTCTGGCACTGTAACAGTGACTCACTGTAAGGCACTGTAACAGTGACTCACTGTCTGGCACTGTAGCAGTGACTCACTGCCTGGCACTGTAACAGTGACTCACTGTCTGGCACTGTAACAGTGACTCACTGTCTGGCACTGTAACAGTGACTCACTGTCTGGCACTGTAACAGTGACTCACTGCCTGGCACTGTAACAGTGACTCACTGTCTGGCACTGTAACAGTGACTCACTGTCTGGCACTGTAATAGTGACTCACTGCCTGGCACTGTAACAGTGACTCACTGTCTGGCACTGTAACAGTGACTCACTGTCTGGCACTGTAACAGTGACTCACTGTCTGGCACTGTAACAGTGACTCACTGTCTGGCACTGTAACAGTGACTCACTGCCTGGCACTGTAACAGTGACTCACTGTCTGGCACTGTAACAGTGACTCACTGTCTGGCACTGTAACATGACTCACTGTCTGGCACTGTAACAGTGACTCACTACCTGGCACTGTAACAGTGACTCACTCGCTGGCACTGTAACAGTGACTCACTGCCTGGCACTGTAACAGTGACTCACTGCCTGGCACTGTAACAGTGACTCACTGCCTGGCACTGTAACAGTGACTCACTGACTGACACTGTAACAGTGACTCACTGCCTGGCACTGTAGCAGTGACTCACTGCCTGGCACTGTAACAGTGACTCACTGACTGGCACTGTAACAGTGGCTCACTGACTGGTACTGTAACAGTGACTCACTACCTGGCACTATAACAGTGACTCACTGCCTGGCACTGTAACAGTGGCTCACTGACTGGCACTGTAACAGTGACTCACTGCCTGACACTGTAACAGCGGCTCACTGCCTGGTACTGTAACAGTGTTCACTACCTGGCACTGTAACAGTGACTCACTACCTGGCACTATAACAGTGACCCACTGCCTGGTACTGTAACAGTGACTCACTACCTGGCACTGTAACAGTGACTCACTTTCTGGCACTGTAACAGTGACTAACTACCTGGCACTGAAACAGTGACTCACAACCTGGCACTGTAACAGTGGCTCACTGCCTGGCACTGTAACAGTGACTCACTACCTGGCACTGTAACAGTGACTCACTACCTGGCACTGTAACAGTGACTCACTGACTGGCACTGTAACAGTGGCTCACTGCCTGGCACTGTAACAGTGACTCACTACCTGGCACTGTAACAGTGACTCACTACCTGGCACTGTAACAGTGACTCACTATCTGGCACTGTAACAGTGACTCACTATCTGGCACTGTAACAGTGATTCACTGCCTGGTACCTGGAGTTTACCTGGAGAGAGTTCCGGGGATCAACGCCCCCGCGGCCCGGTCTATGACCAGGCCTCCTGGTGGATCAGAGCCTGATCAACCAGGCTGTTACTGCTTGCTGCACGCAAACCAACGTACGAGCCACAGCCCGGCTGGTCAGGAACCGACTTTAGGTGCTTGTCCAGTGCCAGCTTGAAGACTGCCAGGGGTCTGTTGGTAATCCCCCTTATGTATGCTGGGAGGCAGTTGAACAGTCTCGGGCCCCTGACACTTATTGTATGGTCTCTTAACGTGCTAGTGACACCCCTGCTTTTCATTGGGGGGATGTTGCATCGTCTGCCAAGTCTTTTGCTTTCGTAGTGAGTGATTTTCGTGTGCAAGTTCGGTACTAGTCCCTCTAGGATTTTCCAGGTGTATATAATCATGTATCTCTCCCGCCTGCGTTCCAGGGAATACAGGTTCAGGAACCTCAAGCGCTCCCAGTAATTGAGGTGTTTTATCTCCGTTATGAGCGCCGTGAAGGTTCTCTGTACTGTAACAGTGACTCACTATTTGGCACTGTGACAGTGACTCACTATCTGGCACTGTAACAGTGACTCACTATCTGGCACTGTAACAGTGACTCACTACCTGGCACTGTAACAGTGATTCACTACCTGGCACTATAACAGTGACCCACTGCCTGGTACTGTAACAGTGACTCACTACCTGGCACTGTAACAGTGACTCACAACCTGGCACTGTAAAAGTGGCTCACTACCTGGCACTGTAACAGTGACTCACTACCTGGCACTGTAACAGTGACTCACTGCCTGGCACTGTAACAGTGACTCACTTCCTGGCACTATAACAGTGACTCACTACCTGGCACCGTAACAGTGACTCACTACCTGGCACTGTAACAATGACTCACTACCTGGCACTGTAACAGTGAGTCACTACCTGGCACTGTAACAGTGGCTCACTGCCTGGCACTGTAACAGTGACTCACTACCTGGCACTGTAACAGTGACTCACTACCTGGCACTGTAACAGTGACTCACTACCTGGCACTGTAAGAGTGACTCACTATCTGGCACTGTAACAGTGACTCACTACCTGGCACTGTAACAGTGACCCACTACCTGGCACTGTGACAGTGACTCACTACCTGGCACTGTAACAGTGACTTACTACCTGGCACTGTAACAGTGACTCACTGTCTGGCACTGTAACAGTGATTCACTATCTGGCACTGTAACAGTGACTCACTGCCTGGCACTGTAACAGTGACTCACTGCCTGGCACTGTAACAGTGACTCACTACCTGGCACTATAACAGTGACTCACTACCTGGCACTGTAACAGTGACTCACTACCTGTCACTGTAACAGTGACTCACTACCTGGCACTGTAACAGTGACTCACTGCCTGGCACTGTAACAGTGACTCACTATCTGGCACTGTAACAGTGACTCACTATCTGGCACTGTAACAGTGACTCACTGCCTGGCACTGTAACAGTGACTCACTACCTGGCACTATAACAGTGACTCACTACCTGGCACTGTAACAGTGACTCACTACCTGGCACTGTAACAGTGACTCACTACCTGCACTGTAACAGTGACTCACTGCCTGGCACTGTAACAGTGACTCACTAACCTGGCACTATAACAGTGACTCACTACCTGGCACTGTAACAGTGACTCACTGCCTGGCACTGTAACAGTGACTCACTGCCTGGCACTGTAACAGTGACTCAGAGAAAAAAATCAACAGTGAGACAGCTACACGATAACCATTTCTGTGTCAACAGTAATTTCTGTGTCTCACCCGTTAAACAGTAGATTCAACGAGAACAACTAAAACAACAGTAAAGCAAATAACAGGTTTTAATGTTTTATCTAAAAATGAGCAAAAAACAACGGGGACTAAACAGTAACACAACAGATAAAGTTGGACGTGAAGGTTCTCATAAACAACGGTAAAAACAACGGAATGGGGTGTGCCTAAACGGTATCACAACAGCTAAGCTTAGATATGAAGGTTCACTTGGGGTTCACTTGGGGTTCACTGATATTTCAAATGGAGAGGTTTCTTCTTTCTGAAGGAGCCCCAGGGACCCCAGATGGGTCAGGAACCTCATTTTGGCCAGGAACCCCAGCCTGGCCAGGAACCCAAGGTGAGCCAGGAACCCCAGCCTGGCCAGGAACCCAAGGTGAGCCAGTAACCCCAGCTGGGCCAGGAACCCAGCTGGGTCAAGAACCCGAACTGGGCCAGCAACCCCAGCTGGGTCAGGAACCTAGCTGGGCCAACAACCCAAGCTGGGCCAGGAACCCCAGCTGCGCTAGGAATCCCAGTTGGGCCATGAACTTCTTTTGGGTCATTAACCCTTTATGGGCCAGGCACCCCAGGGGGGCCAGGTACCCCAGGTGGGCAAAGAGCCCCAGGTGGGCCAGACACTCCAGTTTGGCCAGGTTCCTGTTGTTGGTAGTGTAACAGGTTTGATCACGATAGGAACTACAACGGATTTGCCGTCTCGTTGGCTGTTCTCTTGCGGTATCCTGTCTCTTTGGAAGGCGTCTTGTGGTGTCTCGCCGCCCTGGGAGGCCTCTTGTGGTATCTCGCCGCCCTGGGAGGCCTCTTGTGGTATCTCGCCGCCCTGGGAGGCCTCTTGTGACAGCGGTGACGCTGTGGCTGCTAGGACTAGAGCCAGTACCAGCAGCTGCAAGAGGGGGATGGTGGTGGTGGCTTTCATGATGCTGGTAGAGCTGGTAGTGCGGGTAGTGCTGGTGGCTGATGTTATCTGGGAAGGAATATAGAGAAATGCTTGTTAGTTATCTTGGGGTTTAATTCATGTCTGCTTGCTTACATCTCTGCTCTGCTGCTTCTGCTTCTCTCTCTCTCTCTCTCTCTCTCTCTCTCTCTCTCTCTCTCTCTCTCTCTCTCTCTCTCTCTCTCTCTCTCTCTCTCTCTCTCTCTCTCTCTCTCTCTCTAAGACGCACTGGTAACATCAGTGACTTTCCATTGATTTGCATCAAAAACCCACTTATAAGGAAGCCTATCCAGTACACTGGGTATGGGAGAGACACACAGACGCACACTATATACCTCTAAGGAGGTGGGACCGGACAACATCTCTCTATGAGTCCTTAGAGAGGGAGCAGAGGAGCTGTGTGTACCACTAACAACAATCATTAATACGTCTATCGAAACAGGGCAACTACCTGAGGTATGGAAGACAGCAAATGTAGTCTCAATTATTAAGAAAGGAGACAGATACAGAGCATTAAACTACGTACCATTGTCTGTGACGTGTACAGTATGCAAAGTCATGGAGAATATTATCAGGAGAAGAGTGGTGAAGCACCTAGAAAGGAATGAGCTTATCAACGACAACCAGTATGGTTTCAGGGAAGGAAAATCCTGCGTCACAAACCTACTGGAGTTTTACGACAAGGGGACAGCATAGGACAAGAGAAAGAAGGGTGGTGGATAGATGTCATTTTCTTGGACTGTAAGAAGGTTTTCGGCACAGTTTCACACAAGGAATTAGTGCAAAAGCTGGAGGACCAGACAGGTATAACAATGAAGGCACTGAAATGGATCAGAGAATACTTGACAGGAAGGAAAGAACGAGTCATGGTACGTGACGAGGTGTCATAGTGGGCGTCTGTGACGAGCGGAGTTCCACAGGGGTCAGTCCTAGAACCAGTGCTCTCCCTGCTCATGGGGCAGGGAGTGGACCTAATAGCGACCAGTGGAGAGGCGGGGCCAGGAGCTATGAATCGACCCCTGCAACCACAATTAGGTGAGTACGCACACAGTGTAAGGCAGCAAACACACACACAGTGTAAGGCAGCACACACACACTTATATACACGGTATAAAACAAGAGACACACAGTATACCTGGTGGAGCAGAAGAGACACACACGGTGTGAGGCAGCAGACAGTATACCTGGTGGAGCAGAGAAGACACACACGGTGTGAGGCAGCAGACAGTATACCTGGTGGAGCAGAGGAGACACACACGGTGTGAGGCAGCAGACAGTATACCTGGTGGAGCAGACAGCTGCCCCGCTTTATATCTCATCTAACGGAGAGGGTACTGGATATCCCTCACTCCCCATAGCACTGGGGTATCCCTCTAACTCCTCCGAAACACTCACTCACAATCCCTGCTAACTCAGTAACTTCCCTCTAACTCACTAACTACCAACAACATCGCTTTTGACACGTTATAACAATTACAAAGTTATTTTTCCAGTCTGGTGATTTATTGTTGGTGTCTTCGGATATTTGATGATGCTAAGAGGAAGTCGAAGCAGGTGAAGCCTTCAGACGAAGTTCCTCATTTAAATGTAATCCTCATCCTGTCATCAAGACATACCAAGTCTATGTACATGTATTCATGTATGTGTCTATGATGCATGTATAATGTATATATTTATGATGTATACAACATCTGGTATCTTTAATATAGACATTTCACCATCCAGTGGCATAAGATGGGTAATCTGTCCCCCTGCCGAGGCTGAGAGACAGAATTCGTACTGACAGATTATTATCATTATTATAACCAAGGGGAAAGCGCTAAACCCGAAGGATTATACAGCGCCTAGGGGGGGGGATGTGGAAGGCATTCAGGCTTAATTCGGGGAACTGGAGCACAGATTCAATTCCCTAAATCAAGAGCCCCTCACCAACATCAAGGAACCTTCCTTGAGGGGCGTACTGACAGAGCCAATGGATGGCGAAGTTACATGTCTAAAATTTATATTCTCATATTGTCTACCATTCATGTATATGTATGATGTATGTGTGTATAATGTATGCATGATATATGTATAAGGTATACCTTCCAGACCTAGAAAGTTCTTCACAGAACATTGTTAAGTCAGAACACTCGTAAATTTAACTTGTAAAATAACATCACGTTCAGAGGAATCATACATGAACCCAGTAAGACACGTTCAGAGGAATCATACATGAACCCAACAAGACACGTTCAGAGGAATCATACATGAACCCAACAAGACACGTTCAGAGGAATCATACATGAACCCAACAAGACACGTTCAGAGGAATCATACATGAACCCAGCAAGAGACGTTCAGAGGAATCATAGATGAACCCAGTAAGACACGTTCAGAGGAATCATACATGAACCCAACAAGACACGTTCAGAGGAATCATACATGAACCCAGCAAGACACGTTCAGAGGAATCATACATGAACCCAGCAAGACACGTTCAGAGGAATCATACATGAACCCAGTAAGACACGTTCAGAGGAATCATACATGAACCCAGTAAGACACGTTCAGAGGAATCATACATGAACCCAACAAGACACGTTCAGAGGAATCATACATGAACCCAACAAGACACGTTCAGAGGAATCATACATGAACCCAACAAGACACGTTCAGAGGAATCATACATGAACCCAGCAAGACACGTTCAGAGGAATCATACATGAACCCAGCAAGACACGTTCAGAGGAATCATACATGAACCCAGTAAGACACGTTCAGAGGAATCATACATGAACCCAGTAAGACACGTTCAGAGGAATCATACATGAACCCAACAAGACACGTTCAGAGGAATCATACATGAACCCAACAAGATACGTTCAGAGGAATCATACATGAACCCAACAAGACACGTTCAGAGGAATCATACATGAACCCAGTAAGACACGTTCGGAGGAATCATACATGAACCCAACAAGACACGTTCAGAGGAATCATACATGAACCCAACAAGACACGTTCAGAGGAATCATACATGAACCCAGTAAGACACGTTCAGAGGAATCATACATGAACCCAGTAAGACACGTTCAGAGGAATCATACATGAACCCAGTAAGACACGTTCAGAGGAATCATACATGAACCCAACAAGACACGTTCAGAGGAATCATACATGAACCCAACAAGACACGTTCAAAGACGTATTGCTTAGCTACGTCAACAAGAAGTCTGGTAGACGTAGTGCTTAGCTACGTCAACAAGACGTCTAGTAGACGTATTGCTTAGCTACGTCAACAAGACGTCTGGTAGACGTAGTGCTTAGGTACGTCAACAAGACGTCTGGTAGACGTATGCTTAGCTACGTCAACAAGACGCCTGTAGACGTATTGCTTAGCTACGTCAACAAGACGTCTGGTAGACGTATTGCTAAGCTACGTCAACAAGACGTCTGGTAGACGTATTGCTTAGCTACGTCAACAAGACGTCTGGTAGACGTATTACTTAGCTACGTCAACAAGACGTCTTGTAGACGTATTGCTTAGCTACGTCAACGAGACGTCTGGTAGACGTATTGCTTAGCTACGTCAACAGACGTCTGGTAGACGTTTTGCTTAGCTACGTCAACAAGACGTCTTGTAGACGTATTGCTTAGCTACGTCAACAAGACGTCTGGTAGACGTATTACTTAGCTACGCCAACAAGACGTCTGGTAAACGTATTGCTTATTTACGTCAACAAGACGTCTGCCAGAGACTCAATGGATGGCACTGTAACAGTGACTCACTACCTGGCATTGTAACAATGACTCAGCAGTGACTCGCTGCCTGGCACTGCAACAGTTATTCACTCACTGCCTGACACTGTAACAGTGACTCAACAATAACTCACTGCCTGGCACTGTAACAGTGATTCACTGCCTGACACTGTAACAGTGACTCAACAGTAACTCACTGCCTGGCACTGTAACAGTGGCTCAACAGTGACTCACTGCCTGACACTGTAACAGTGACTCAACAGTGACTTACTGCCTGGCACTGTAACATGTGACTCAACGGACTCACTGCCTGACACTGTAACAGTGACTCAACAGTGACTTACTGCCTGGCACTGTAACAGTGATTCAACAGTGACTCACTGCCTGACACTGTAACAGTGACTCAACAGTGACTTACTGCCTGGCACTGTAACAGTGACTCAACAGTGACTCACTGCTGACACTGTAACAGTTACTCACAGTAACTACTGTCTGACACTGTAACAGTGACTCAACAGTGACTTACTGCCTGGCACTGTAACAGTGACTCAACAGTGACTCACTGCCTGACACTGTAACAGTGACTCAACAGTGACTCACTGCATGAACTGTATCAGTGACTCAACAGTGGACTTACTGCCTGACACTGTAACAGTGACTCAACAGTAACTCACTGCCTGACACTGTAAACAGTGACTTCAACAGTGACTCACTGCCTGGCACTGTAACAGTGACTCACAGTGACTTACTGCCTGCACTGTGTTGCAACCCCTGAATGGGTTACAATGATTATTATGTATTATAATGTATATTCCCTTTTCATTTAATTTTATATTCTTATTTTTGCGATAATAGTAAATCGAAAATGTATGACTTTATATTATTATTTGGTTATATTGTTATTAGCTTTGTTTTTTGGTGTTATAAAATGTGTAGTTAGTCTTGTTTGTCAAACTACTGTTTTTTATGTTTCGCTCGTTATACTGCGGTTCTGAGCTGCAGTTGCCCACGTGCTATCACGTGTCGGGGGGGGGGGTTCCCCCTTGTGAAGTAGTCAGTCTGCTGGAGCTCGCTTGCGGGTTTGGACAGATTTCTGTTCTTTATTTTGTTAGTTCTTTTAAAAACTCTGTTCACAAAAAATTGTTGATTAGTGATTTTCACATTGTACTGAGGTTGTGTGTACTAGACACTCTGAACTTCGGGGTCCTTGTATAGCTTCTGCCCTAATTTTGTACTGGTTTCTGTGTTTTTCACAACTGGGTTTTTTCCTATGGGAGTTTTGTAACTTGGGGAGGATTGAGATGGTCCCTACTTAGTGTTGTTATATTATCTCCTAGTTCCTGATTCTTTGCGGAGTCGCTTGATATTGCATTGTTTTGGGGATTAGATTTTTTGTTGTTCAAGCAGCTGTTCGGGTTCCCAGTCGGTCAAGAAGTTAGTTTTTTTGAGGTTTTGTCGTCACTTGTTTAAGTTTATTCGGTTTGAGACATAGCTAACTTTTAAAGAGCACTTACGCGATCCCACAACTTGTACATTTTTGTAATATTTTTAATGTTAATGTCCCTGACGGACTTAAGAATTATAAATGTGAATGTGCTTTCAGCACAAAAAAATATTGAAACTCGAGAGATTGATTTTATTTTGATTCTGTGATTTAATTTATTTTGAAAATATACCTTAGATTAAATAAATTTTTTAAAATTTTTAATTTTCCCTTTTTAGTAGCCTCCCTTTGAAAATCCTAAAGTATTGAACCCATACTAAATTTTTAATGGAAAATTTGGGAAAAAGGTACTGACTTTGTTACAAAACCCCCAGAAACGGCTGGATGCTAAAAAGGGCAGTCCTTTTAGTATTCACTGGAGATCTCTAATTTTTAGAATCGCTTTTTTTTGTAAAAATGGGGGCTGTCCGGGGGGTCTTGTCCAAGGTGTTGGAGAAATTGTCCAGTTTGACTATGTAATCTATGATCAAAAATTTGGTATTTTCCTAATCTGAAGATTTTGAGTTTAGTCTTGTCAACATACCAGGTGGATGTATGTATTTGGGCGAGTTCTTGATCCAAGGAGAGGGAAAATACTGTTTAGAGTTTAGCTCTAAGACATCCAACACTAAAAATTCTATTAGGTTTATTTTCCCATAATCAATTCTCGAAAGTACAATTATTTTTGTGAGTATGCCAAAGTGAAACAGTTAATTGATACTTGACTTTGTTGATTTGAGTACTTTAAAACTTCAGAGGTTTTGGCAAGTAGCCAAATATCTGGGTTTGTGACGTAAAACAGGAATTACCCCGAAAAAAAACTGTCGGGATTAATTAAAGATATATTTTTTCCTGTATACAGAGATGTCTGTTTTATGATTCAGATTCGAAAGCTATGTCAAATTAGGAAGTAGGGTCTATTTGATGAAGAAAAAAAGGCAACTAGAGCAGAAGTGAGCCTGTTCGAGCCTAGTTGTAGCTCAGTTCCGCTCGCCCCCTTCCTTACTGACAATGGTAACAGTTACTGGTGTATGACAAGCCTAATATAGTAAGGTTATACCCTGTATTTATTACCCTAGACA